AATGTGCTGTCTTATTTTATTGCTACAATCATTGATGTACTGGAGTCACAGAATCGCCTGAATCTCAGTGTAGTGGTCTGAACATAATATTGGTGATTTTGGCCACAAATCTCATTGTGTTGGTATGTCGACATGATATTTCAAAACTGAACTGTCCAAATTCGATCAATTCCATCTATTTAATCTCTTAACACCAATTAATACACCCTGCTAATTAACCCTCCATGATAAACAAACATTTTACAGTGTAAATATTGTTAGATCCATTTCTCTTCTTTGTGGCCAAAATCTCCACCTGGGTCGATAAAAAGTTGAAGAGAAGCAAGGTTCAGGTTGTTTTACATTGAGAATTGGAGCAATGGGGAACGAGAACAAGGTGCAATTGTTGGAAAAGGTCTACTTTGAGAACCGCCCTGCTTGCAGGCTCGATAAAGAGAAGGATAAGAACTCTGGTTTGCCTCACAGAGATTTCTTCCATATGTGAATCATCACTCTGGTAGCTGGTAATGGGAAAATTTTGGGGAGTTCTCATCTGGGTCTATTTTGTTTTTGGGTTCTTGGTTGTTTCTTTCGAGAATAGTTGATTTTTATGGATGGTGTTATGTGTTCATAGTTTATTCTCAGTGCATGAAGTACTTCTTTTTTATGTTTGATGTCGGGTTTGTTTTATATTTGTTGCTTCAATATGTTTTGCAGAGTTCCATTCATTTTCAGTTTAATCTCAATAATGGATTCTCGTATAAAGATCTAGGCAGTCCTTTTCTGTTTATATAGATTTTATCAACTGGATTGTGTTATATTATTGCTTTGGTAGTATTGTTTGCAAAATCGAGTCCCCCCGCCCCCGGCCCACCTGGGTGTCTTTTGTTTTGGAGTTATTGGTAGTTCCTTTTCTCAAAGATCAGAATTTTATGGATTGTGCTTGTAGGTTTGTCGTTTTAGTTAGAATTTTGCATGGTATGTGCTACCTTCCTTCTTTTTTTTTTTCAGAAGTGATTAAATGAGTTTGCATTGTTCTATTATTTCTTGTAGTAAACTTTTTTTTACCTGGTGGTAATTATTTGCAAAGATATAAACCTTTTTTTTCAAGAATTAACCTTTTCATTTCTTCTCTTTCTCTTGTCTCCTCTTTGAGATGCAAAGGCCTAATTGGGTAGTCCTTTGCATCTGAGATTATGTACTTAATGTAGCTAAGGACAATTAGTAGCTAAGGTTGTGTTCTTAACTTCCATAGGATATAATTTAGTAGTAGAGATTTATTAGGACCAATTTAGTTCGCCTTATATAAGAAACAACTCTACAATTATTAGTTAGCTGTTTCTGTCAACATCTGGAGGCTTCAGTACAATTTTGCTGCGAGTAATCATATAGTTGGTTCTTGCAGTGCATTTTCTTACGTGCTAATTAGCTGAGCTTCTTACTCATTGTTCAGAAATTTCTGACGAGATTCTAATCTCTTTCTCTTAACTTCTCAGGTTTACCAATATCATCATTGTTTCCCTTTTTGTACTTCATGGTACGTATAAGATTTCACTTTCCTTCATGCATATGCTCCTAATTTTCATTTTTCAGTATATTTCTTGTACCTTGATGAATTTAAATACTTTGCTTATTCTCTAAGGTTGTTGGAACAATGAGCATCTTTTTCTGTATGTGGGAACATGGAGTGATTAGGAAAACTTACTGATGAGCATACAAATAAATCTTACATCCCTTTGCTAGTTAAAGCATGTTACTTTCTAAATTTTACGCTCTATCTAGAAACTATTGTCATTCTGATTGATGTCTTATGCTTAGAACTATCTTCAAATACGTAAATTACTTTTTGTATATTAATTAGAAAAGGAATTTTTCTATATTAATCAGAAAGGAATTCCCCCTTTCATTTGTGTTTGATGGAAAATTTTATCCCGGAACACAAATCGTTTAATGTGGGACTTAAAAAATATTCTCTAGCTTGCCTAATGTACTACCTACTTTAATAAGCCTTACCACCATTGCACCAACATGGCCATCTTCTTAGTGAAAGAATGTCTATAGTGAAACCCTCGGGGTCAAAATGGGTGACACAGAATCCAGTGAATATACTTCTCCAAAACTACTGCTGGTAATGTTTGACTTTGATATTACAGAATAAACATGATTCATGACCTCTTCGACTTAAACTTGTCACAGATAAGGGACTTACACATTGCCAAGCGAGTGGAAGATATCGGGTTTTATGCAGGTTTTGTTGGTAAGCAGTGGCAGGATAATGCCTTATTTCTAAGTATCTTTTCAGTTCAATCTTTATAAATTCATAGTAACAACCATTTTTCCTTACATTGAAGGTGCTGCTTTCATGTTTGGGAGAGCTTTAACTTCTGCATTCTGGGGAATAGTAGCAGATAGATGGGGAAGGAAACCTGTGATGATAATTGGCATCACTTCAATGTCAGTACAACTTATTTCTTATTTATTGTCAATTCGAACCTGCTATGGTAAACAATGAATGTTGTTAGTTCTTGCTTTTTTGGCTTTCCTTTGCATTTGATACTTTCTTTCTTTGTTTTGTTTGTATTTCAGGATTATATTTAACACCCTCTTTGGATTAAGCGTAAATTATTGGATGGCAATTGCTACAAGATTTCTTCTTGGAGCCTTGAATGGTATATTTGGCCCAATAAAGGTATTCACGTTCTATATTATATTAATGAAGTTGTCATAAGCTCTATTAAATTTATCTATGTAATTTGGCTTGTATTCAGGCGTATGCTTCAGAAGTTTGTCGACCAGAGCATCAATCTATCGCACTGTCACTGGTATGAATCTTTATTTATTATATAAAATATTATTGCTTGCCCCTTATGTATATATGTCTTTAGTTGCATAATGGACTATAAAGTCAAGTACAGCATGATACAATCAAAAGGGCGGCCCAGTGCACGAGGCTCCAACAATGTGGGCTCTAGGGAGGGTAACATGTGTGCAGCCTGAACACCCCGTGCAGGGAGGCTATTTCCAAGATTCGAACCCATGACCTTCAGGTCAAAAGGCAGCAACCTTTCCATTGCGCCAAGG